CGCCCGCCCGCCCCGCCCCGGGCCCCGCCTCGGGCCCACCCCGACCCCGCCTCGCCCTGGACTAGGCCCCGCCCGCTGAGCGCGCGCGCCCTCCCCGCCCTCTTCGGGGTGGGGGGGCGCTCCTCGCCCTGTGCTCACCCCCCGGCTGCAAGGGGTCACACCGAAAAGCCTGAAGCGTGTTTTTGGCCTGGAATCTGTCCTGGCCCCACGGGCGAAAGAGGTGGAAGGAGAAGTGGAAACAGCCCCCAGAAGGCTTCTGAATCTGTCTCTGAACAGCACTCTCTAGGTCCCCGGGCTTCTGGTCACTTACCATCAAAGCAAGCATGTAGAGGGTCTATGAGTGCCGCGGACAGTCATGGCGTGAGAGGCGAGGCCGGCCGTTCCTAGCGCTCTTAGAGGGTAGCGAACTGACAGACTGGGGAAGGAAGGGACCCAGTCCTGGGTCACTAATTCCGTATTCACTCTCAACCGTGATTGAGCATTCACTCTGTAAGCCCCGTGGGTTCAAAGACATGGTCCTGACCCGGGAGCGCCCAGCGCATCTGCCCAAACAACTAACGGGTGCCGCCTGGAAAGCCCCGGGCGGGGATTAAGAGAAGCAGCCGATTCTTACCAGCCGTTGGGACGGGGCGGGACGCGGCGGGCCCCCTGGGGAGAGACCCTGGAATTGTCCGGAGGGGAGGGGAGGGGAGGGAGCACCGAGAGCGCCGGGAAGGGCCGGACATCCCAGGGAGACGCCAGAACCGTCGAGAACACAAGCTTACTGAGCGCCTACTACGTGCCAGGCACTGTTCTGTCCGTGAACAAAAGCGGATGGAAGCTCTGGCTGGGAGGGGATTGCAGTTTAGCGGGAGGTGGTAGCAGTACCCACGTGAAGACGGACAGCGTGCTAGGTTAGCGATGTTCTGGAGAAAAGCAGAGCAGGGTCGGCGCGTCAGGATGCGGGGGATGTGGTGGGGGCAGCCCCGGATCCGACAGAGCCTCGCGGAAGGACGCGCGGTCCTGCGACCCAAACCGCGTGTCGTGACTGCGGGACGCGCGGGGCGGGAAGGAGGGGGAAGGCTTGGGACAAGGTCCAGGGCAGGGTAAAGGGCCGCCTGAGGTCGGTGAGGTGGGTGTGGGGCGGTTAAGGGGTCCTGAAGGGATCAGGCTTGAGCTGCAGACAGTCTGAGAGGTAGTAGCGAAGGGGGTAGAGACACGGGTGAGAACAGAGACCCGGGAGAGGCTTCTAGGTTTCTGGCTTGGGGAACGGGTGGATGCGGGTGAAACTCCACCAAACACGCGTGGCTGCTAGAGGGGGAGAGACCACACACGCCCCTTCCCCTATCAGAGATCCAGGGCTGGGAGATGGAGTCCTGTTCTGTGGTCGAGACCTCTCTCTCCTCCGGGAAGTCGCGGTCCGGGTCAAGGTTCCCTGAGCCTGACTGCGGCCATCCATCTGCGCAGGCCCAAAGCTGAGGCACAGAAGCTGGAGAGCACTGCTCCTGTCATTGGGGTTTCCTTTCATTAATTCAACAAATTTTGATTGAGCACGTTCTCTGTTCTAGGGAATACAGTGATGAGAAAAACACACGTTCCTGCCGGCATGGGAAATTTAATAGGTGAGGGGAGGCAGCCTTTATCCCACTCAGTGATTAACCACAACCCCAGCCCCGCCCAGCCCCCCCCCCAAAGTGCTTTCAAGAGCCCGGTGTCGGTGTGTGAATCGGCACAGAGTCTTGGGGGGGGGGGACATTTCCTGAAAAATGACACGTGAGGTGAGAGCTGAAGTTAACCCCCAGGTCCTGGGGGAGGGTGGATTCGGAGCAGGGGTGACAGTACACTGTGAGGTCAGGGACCAAGGTCCGCAGGGGATGGAGTGGAATCAGTAAATGCAAAGCCCGCAGTGAGGGGAGCGACAAGAAGGAGAGACTGGCACACTGCACCGACAGAAACAGACCGGTGGCAGGCTGCCAGGGGCTGGGGTGCAAGAGGGAACTTTGGGGTGGTGGGAATATTCTCTCTGGATTGCAGGGTTGGTTCCACAACTGTACACGTTTGTCAAAGTACAGAGAACTGCAGACCAAGAAGGGTGAATTTCACTGTAAATTATACCTCAGCCTTACTTAAAAAAAAAAATATATATATATATATATATATATATATATATATATATATTTTAGTTCTCCAACCAGGGATCGAACCCGGCTCCTGGCAGTGAAGCTCTGAATCCTAACCACTTGACTGCCAGGGAATTTCCCAAAATAAAGGTATTTTTAAAAAGAGAGAGAAACAAGTTGTCAAGGTAGGCCCGGGCCAGACCACACATGGCCCCAGAGGCCCTGGTCAGGGTCTTGGTCTTGAACCGGCCGTGCTGGTAGCTCAGGAAGACGGACCTGAAGCGGTTTCGTAGGGCCCTCGGTGGCGCTGATAACCTGCATGATCACGCAGCCCCCATGCAGCCCCGGGACCTCCGGGATAGGCACCGCCTGGTGCCACATACATGTCCCCCCCCCCCCCCCCCCCCTCCCCCCCCCCGCCCTTTGTCAACAGCTCTGGCTGCAGCTGCTGGTCCCTGCCACAATGACCCGGAAGTTAGGAGGATTTGGCATTCCTCTAGGAAGATTAGAGTCACTACAGCAAACTGCAAGTGCCTTAGGGGAGAAGGGAGGGCGAGGGCATGGAGTGTACCCCGAGCATCAACTTTGCTGGAGCTGGGGCTGGGCCCAGAGACAGAACGGGTCGGGGAAGGGCGGGCCCGCTGCCCACACTTGAAGACGCTGACTGCACAAGCCCACCCTCAGGGCCATCACCGCAGCCACGGGGTGCAGCCTGGAACACACAAACCTGCTGGGCCGGCCTGCACCCAGCTAGACAGTGACCTTTCTAGCTGCTTCCCCGGAGGCCTGCTGACCTAGACGGGACGCCAGTGAAGCAGAGAAGCAGAAGAGAAACTGAGACCTCCCAGGGCCTCGTTAAGGGGGTCGAACAGCCCTCTTGCCTACGCAGCTCCCCATTCATCTGGCATGGCGGGAACCACTTCACCCAAGCTGACCGGCTGACCTCAGAGAGGCAGTGTCGGCCCTGGGCACCAGAGGGCTTGAACACATACCGACGCATCAAACCAACTTACGCAGAATCTCTGGAATCAGACCTGGCATCAGCGAACTTTTAAAAAGTGCCCTAAATGACTGGCAGGCACAGGCCGGGGCTGAGAGCCACTGCATGGAAGGATGCCTTCTCTAGACAAACGCCTGCGGGGTTTGCATCCTAGGAACTGGGGCTGGTCTCTGCAAAATGTGCTGGGACTAAGGGAGCCCGAGTGGTAAACCCGCCCTCTTCCCGGGAAGCCGGACCAATGAAAGGGCGGGCAAGACTGGAAGCCGCTGAAGGCGCCCCATCCGGGTCTGTCGACAACCACTGAGCGCCCGAGGACCCTTGTGCCGGAGGAAACAAAACCCGAACTCCTCAGGACTAGATTGAAAAAGGACCTCACATGCCTCGAATTCTTATAGAAAAAAGCCTACAAACGATCTCAGGCACTTGGCTACTTGAGCGTAGATCTCAGTGTAAACCACGGCCAGACCTTCCCGGGCCGCCGGCGCTCATTTGCCGTAGTTTGGTGCCACCTCGTGGTGCACCCACACATCCGTGCCGAGACCCTAACCTCGATGGTGTAGCTCACTGGACTCTGAAACCACTGCAATGGGTACTTGCCATAACCTTCTGGGAACTGAGTGCTGGGAAAAGCGCCCTGGCGACCCCCACTCAGCTGCGTGAGACTGGTCCTCGGGCTGGGGAATACTTCCTGGCCGAAGGGTAACGAGCCCACAGGACCTGTGCCGGGCTCGTCATTGTCACCAGTGTGGGAAATTTCCTTATTTCAAGCTCAATGAATTACTTTCCCTGCTTAAAAATGCGTGCCTCCTAAAACACTTGGCCCTCCATACTGCTCTGTGGGGAAGGGATGGGGGTCCTTCCATGAGGCAGGAGGGGTGCATGTAAGCGAACTGCCCTGCCACCATGCAGACATTCGCTGGCCACAGGGGACCAACGTCCACTACTGTAGGCGATTTTGCCTTCTAAGCATTGCCCTATCTGCGTCTGGAGTCCTCCCCGGGATTGGTAACTGGCGCAGGGGGAGCTGAGGTAGTTTCTCAAGATCATTCATGTCAGCAAGTAGTGGAAGCAGGACTGAATCCTCAAGGAGCCAGGCCTGGCTGGGAGGTGGGATTCGGGCCTTCACGCACCTGTCTGAGCAGCGTGTCCTATCCCCACACCCACCACTGCACTGCCTCAAGGTCCGGGGTCAGATCTCTGGCTCCTCCATTTAAATGTTCAGACGGGTCTTTGGGTTCCAGGGGCTCCTTTGGCTGGGCTAACATCCACTCATCTCCGTGCTTAACTCATAGGCTCCTTCTCAGAGCCCCTCATCGAAAGTGTCCTCTCATCTGCGTTCATCTCACGGCACCAAGTACCACTCCCGAGCTCCACTTAATCCTGAGTAGCACTTAGGAAACACACAAGAGTGAATTTTCACTCCTGTGCCTGACAACACAAGTGTCTTAGTCGAGGGAGGGGAGGGAATCACACATCCACCTCCGCAGCAAGAAACATTTCAACATGGCAGACACAAAAGCGCCACCACCTCCTGAGGAAGAGACGGCTTCATTTACTGCCGGCTTCATTTACTGCCGTTTCCAAGAAGGCTGATCAACTCCTCCTTTTAACTATCATTTTCATGACAAGGGAGCTCATTTTACCTAAATGACTTTTACATCCCACGAGTGCAGACTGGCTTCACTTCCACCAATAATTGGCTCTTTTAACTGCCTATTTCCATCTACTTATTTTCAAACTTAGGCTTAAGAAAAAAAAAAAAAAGATGGCTTTATTTGTCCACTGGGATCACAGCCCAAGATTAGGGATGCAACAAGGTAGCAACCAGGACCCCCATCCTATTCCCACCAGAAGCCATTCCAAGTAACACCCACACCCCCCATCCTCAAAGAAAAAGGCCATTTTGAGAATTAAAAAATTTTTAATACAGTTCAAATCAGTGTGCGTGATTCATTTCAGCTCCTTCACTGCCAAACCTAGAGGAAAAGAGACACCAAAAGTAAGCCACTCAGAAGATTATTCATTTTATCTGAGTTACTACTGCTTGTCTGGATTTTGTACTTACGCTAAAGAGGGTTCGCAAAGCTCAGAAATTAAGCCCACCAGGACGGTTTCGCTTAAAACATAACAGTTAGTGTTTGATGATAAAAACGTTCCCTCTCTCAGCCTTTCTAAAGACGTTCCAGTTAGTCTTACAAGGGCAAGCGGTGCTGGCTGACTTCTCACGGTGAAGCAGCAGCCTTTGGAAACCCCTCTGGGCTCCTGGGGCAGTTTCCTCCCAGGTGCCCTTTCGAGCCTTCCACCACCAGGACAGGCCCCTATGCTTAACTAACCTACGCTCACGGCCTGTTGTATCTAATACGTCCCTCAGCCTATAAACATGGGGGTCATCAATATACCAGCACCTACCTACCTTGTAGGGCCGCGGTGAGGATGAAATGAGTGACACAGAGTAAGCATTGGCTGGTATGCTGCTGCATTAGGAAAGCACCGAAGGGGCTGAAACAAACGTTCCTGTGGCCACGGAAGCGAGTTCTGCTATGGGGTCTAACCTCAGAACCACACGTATTCCCTGCACTACACCCACAGCAAGAGCAGATACTTGGACAAACCACAGAAAGGACTTTGCTCATTCTGGGGACAAGTCAAGAAACAAGGTGGGGACAGAGGGACCCCCACACTCCGGGCTGCTCCCCCCCCGGGGGTTCCCGCCTCACTCACCTGGGGGCAGGGACTGCTTCAGCTTCTCCGCCTTCTCTTTGTCTGTGATGACCAAGGTGTAAAGGTACCTGCTACATCGAACCTTAAACTTCACATTATCCTTATTTTTCTTGATCTTGACCGCTACCAGAGACCAGAATTAACAATTAAATTTGATCACAGAAAAGAGAGGGCGTACAGTCCACCGGCTGTGCTTGCCCCCCTCCACTGTCCCTCTGTTGAAACAGAGAACAAGATGTCCCCGCCCTCCTCTGAGCTCAGTGTTTAAAAATAATGTCAGAAATCTTCATTTCCCTTACATTACTGCTCAAGAACCTGGAGCTTACTGTTTGTATTTAAAACACAGGTAGTATCCGGTACACGGAACACATTCTAGAACATCCTGTGTCCATCTTTATTATTATTTTTTAAGGGATGAAAGTAGTTCCTAAAGTAAGGAGATGGATTATCTGCTGACATCAAGAACTTTCCACCACCGTTCCAGAAATAACTCTGCATATGAGATGCTATCGGGGCGATGCTAAGGCTCTTCCTTCAGGTCCGCCCCCCGACATAATGAGCATGTACTGAAGTTTTTCCTCAAATGTAAGCAGAACACATTTTCTGGGCTCTTTATTGCTTTAAAATTCCATCTCAGGAACACAGCTCAGACAACAAAGAGCCCCAAGTGTGCTCAAAGTTCAACAGCGCAAGGTTTGAAGTTTAGCAAACAGTGTGCTTATGTACAAGCGTCAATGCACCTTTATGAGGCCGCCACCTATTCTGGCGGCAGGAAGACATCCGCTTCCCAGGTGACTCACGTCAGGCACCTGTCAAGTTCCCCGTTCCGACTTCCACAGCACAGTTAACTTGGACTCACAACCCACAGCTCCATCTCTGCCAATAACTGCTAAAGGGGTAGGACACGTCACAGGAAGCAGAAGCTCTGTGGCCCTGGCGAAGGCACTGGCTGCCTTGGCTCATGTTCTAATAAATCAGGCACATGGATATTTACTCAAACCAACCTATTTTGCTATCTTAACATTCCTCCCAAAGCTAAGTATGCTGCGTCGTCCCTAGTAGCTGCTGTGGATCTATAAACTAACTGAACCCTCACAAGATAAGGCAGACGCACCGCTTAGGAGTGTTTATTCGACATCATGGGGTGCAGTAATGCTACTCAAAAGCTCAGCAAGCAGCAACAGGAGGCATCCGTGCAACGTCCACAGCAACATTATTCACAACAGCCAAAAGCAGAAACCACCCAAATGCCCATGGACGGATAGGGAGAAACAAAATGTGGCATGTCCACACAATGGATCATTTAGTCTTAAGGAGGAAATCCTGACAAATTCTCCAACATGGATGAATTCTGAAGATCTCATGCCAAATGAAGCAAGCCAGTCATGAAAGGACCAATACCAGAGGATCCACTTACACGAGATACACCGAGAAGAGCCAAACTGATAGAGACGAAGTAGAATGGTGGTGGCCAGGGCTTGGAGGGAGAGAATGGAGACCTGCTGTTTAATGGGTTACAGAGTTTCAGTTTTGCCAAGATGAAAATTTCTGGAAAAGGATGGTCGCACTACAATGTGAACATACTCAAAGCCAGTCAACTGCACACCAAAAAATTTTACGTTTATTTTACAATTAAAACTATAGAGAAATATTCAAAAGTGTATTCAAAAAACACTCACGGAGCACCCTATCACACCCAGGGGAACGTGACCCCTACTCTCACAGGTCACTGTCTAAACTCAAGCTCCCCAACAGAATTAAATGCAAAGCCATCTGATGGATTTGGTGTCACTTGCTCAACGTGCTCAAGTCTCTAAGAGATCATCTGATCTGATCCTTGCACCAATCCTAGGAGACAGATGTCATCACCCCCTCTTCAACAGAAAGAAAACAGTGGGATTGTGTTTACCTTGCTAAGGACAGCTACCTGCTGGTAGAGCTGGGATCTGCCCAGGCAGCGACAGCAAATTCCGCGGCCCGGACTAAGGCTGACCTGATACATTTCCTTTGTGCACCACAGTACATACAAAAACGCAAGCGCACCGTCACCCGGGGTCCCCACCACCCGTCAGGACAGACATTCCCACCAGATGCTACTTGTTCTCACAGGTGGTCACCAGTTCACACAGCACCAGGGGATCAAAGGCAACGACCTGTTTCAGGTAAAGGGGACACAAACATGACTCTTCCTGAAGCCCCGTGAACTCCCTAGAAGGCTCTCCTGCACGCCACTGCTTCACCCTACCACTGACACGGGGCGTCAGAGACGGTTGGTGCCTTAGCCCACCTTAAAGTAAGTCAGCCCGAGAGTACTCCACTTTCACGCGTTATCCGATTTTCTCTTTAGCACAAATCTGGGAGGGAAAGAAAGCGATAAGGAGCAGCACAAGAAAGATGACTCCGGGTTAAGGCAGTTCAAGATCTAGTATAGAGCACAAGCTCCCCACACCTCCTTCAACTACAACACAGGCACACCAGCAGAATTCCCTCCCAGTGTAGAGAGAACACACTGGCAGCTGGGGCTGGCACACGTCCATCAAAAACTCGCTGTTTTATGTTTCTGATGCATCAATTACTTTTCCCTTCGTTTACAGGCTAGGACGCTAACACACGTAGAAGGGAAATGACTTAGTTCTTTGTGAGCAGGGCCTGTGCTCAGCCCAGAGCCTAACATGCAGCACCAAGTCGGGGTTTACGAAACGCGCGTTTCCAGATTTTCACCCAGTAAGGGTTCCGTTCTGAGCACCTACCATACACAGGAGGACACACACGAACAAAACACCTTAGGACGTTTCTTAAACGTTCACAGTTAGCTAAGGAAGAGAACACACTGGCCAACCAGCTTTTCTTACGCGAGACCTGCTAAAACCACTGCTTCCCGACAGCACGCACACGCTGAAGCAGCCGCCCGGCCCAGCGCCCGTGCAGGAGCGGCTCCGCGCCAACGCGACCCTTTCCACTCGCTCGTCTAGACCCTCACTTACATTTGGCGTCCTTTCGCCTAGCTGTGAGCAGAAAGTCCTTAATTTCCTCAATTTTGCGAGGCTGCAACACAAAGCAAAAAGAAGCAACTGTAGAGACACGCTTTTCTAGGATGGTCGGGCCCACCAGCCCCTCTCGGGGCTCGGAAGACCCTCGCACAGGCGCCCCTGCCCTTGCCCCTCCTCCCCCAACCCCGGAAAGGCCCCAGGCAGGGGTCGTACTCACCATGGCGACGAGGCGCGGAGAGCGCGGGTAGCCTGCGGGAAAACAAGCGTCAGTGTCCATGGGATGCGGGGACCAGCGGCTACCCCGCTTCCCCTCCTCGCACCCCCGAAATACCGGCCCCATCGCACTCCATCCTCCTCCCCCCGCACCTCTGATCCAGGCCCTGGGTCCCCAGACGTCACCCGGCCGTGGATTACCACGGATTACCACCCATTCCCCACGTAGGGCCCGAGAAACACTCACCGTGAGCAGCCAGAAGCGAGGAGAACGGAAAAGAAAGAAACTTCCGTTTCCGGGCAGTTAAACCCTCCCCCAGAGGAAGCTGGGTACGGTGTCCGCAACGGGTCAAGAATAACACAGGCGTTCGCCTTTCCCATCGCTGCGTCTCTCCCTGGATTAACAGCGCGGCTCCCCGAAAGCAATGGGCCGCTTCCCTCCACCACTCCCTACTTCCTCTATCCTCCGGTCCAAACCCCACCTTGGCTTTGCTAGGTTTTATTTCAGATCCGGTTTGAAGACCTGTGTTAGGACTTACTATCTACTACTTTCATTAGACCTGTGTATTGGGCATCTACTCAGAGATTTTTTTTTCTTTTAAATGGAGGGACCCTCCTACGTACATTTTATAACCTCTTTCTAGGGGTTCCTCCCTTTTCCTTCTGGTCTCCTTTGCCACGGACATCTAATCTGTCATGGGCAGGGCCCTCTTGCTCGCCTCTTTTTATTGAACGGAGCTTTTGCACTGGCTGCTTCCAATTCCTTTAAGAAGTGGTACCATAAAAGCAAGTTAAAACTTGGAATAGGGGCTTCCCTGGTGGCGCAGTGGTTGAGAGTCCGCCTGCCGATGCAGGGGACGCGGGTTCGTGCCCCGGTCCGGGAAGATCCCACATGCCGCGGAGCGGCTGGGCCCGTGAGCCAGGGCCGCTGGGCCTGCGCGTCCGGAGCCTGTGCTCCGCAACGGGAGAGGCCGCAACAGTGAGGCCCGCGTACCGCAAAACAAAAACAAAAACAAAAAAACAAACTTGGAATAGCTAACGTTTTATGGAACACTCACACCGGGCATCTCCCGTACTAAGCACTTTACCCATAGGGCCTCTGTGATCCTCGGGCGTGCTTGTGACGGGTGGCTCCGGTCGTTTACTCCAGCCTTACCCGCAGAGAATGAAGGCGTGTCAGTTGCTGGGAGAGGTGAAGTCAGGACTCGGAACCACGCTCCCAGACTCTTGACCACCTCCTCACTAGGCTGCCCACCTGAAACGGGCTGGCAGCTCTGGGAAGGCAGCGTTCCCTTTGCCCCTTTGGTTCCTCGCAGGCTTCACCCCATCCCTGGTATTATTTTCTTAGCACAAATTTACCCTCAGCTCTTCCAGAACGTCTTTTCAGGCAGGCTCCGGGAAACCTGAGGTTATCGATTTAATTTTCATCCTCCACTTTATTTTTAACCTCCTTACAAATGTCTACATTTTATTATATTTGTTTCCTCCCCAATTTAATAACTGCACGACAGAATGTAATTGCCCTGTGCGCATCATTACAGAGCAGCTCACCTGAAGAGAAAAGAGTCCTTTACCATGAACTTCGCTTTGAACCCACTCCCCTCCCCCCTTCCCTCCCATTAGACAAGCCCAGGTTGAGCATTTTCCTAGAGATGCTGGAGATACAGGGAAGGATAAACCCACAGTCCTTGCCCCTGGGAGATCACGAAATCCTCTAATTGTGCTAGACAGCCTTTTAAAAGAAGCCCCTATGTTTCTGTGACTACAGATGCTTCTGGGTGTTAACAAAGAGAAAAGTTAATTGGTAGGGCCTTAATGTGAGATTATCTGAAGGTCAGGATGCCTCAGCTCTGACCTGAGAAAGACACTCTCAAATCCCCCAGCCTGACCTGACAGCCCCCCTCCATCTCAGGCTGATGCCTTTCTGGTCTTTTCTCCCCCACTGCACCGCCAAAAGCAACGACCTTTTCAGCCCAGCCAACCGGTGTTTTAAGGGCACTTCCTGACCCCAGGCATCGGCCTGTGCCCTCCCCTCTGACCCTAAGTCCTGTTTATCCTCAGAGCTCAGCTCCGCCCTCTCCTCTGGGCAGGACCCTGCACCTCTGCCTCCTGTCACCCGTCACTCATGCATCAGTTACTCCCACCTGCCTTTCCATAGGCTGTGCGGCAATGTTAAACTTCCCATACGTTTGCACTGACTTTTTTATAGAGGCGAGGACGAGGTTCTGCATTCTGTTGATAACTCTCAAAATGCACTGCTCATACATATACAGAGGTGCTCAGTGCTGACGTGCAGGATCCTCGAGATGGTTGCAGCATCCGGGATCACTCACCATATGAAGGGTGGATAGATTGATGGAGGGATGTTTGGATGAATGAACGGAGGGATGAAGAGAGGGAGGGAGGGAGGGAGGGAGGGAGTGATTAATTCGGACAAAGCAGTGCCTGGCACATAATAGGTCCACAAAAATATTTGTTGAGTGAATGCCTGCTGCTTCTCCCCACTGGGACCTACAGGACAGGGACAGGGAGAGGGGCTGCACCTTCCTTTTGGCAGTGATCCCAGAGACAGATGTTTGCCTCTTGAACTGCATAAGAAGAGAACATAGATGTCTAGTAACAAAACACAGAGACCAACCTCCTGGGGGTGCCAGTGGGGGAGCTCAAGGTTTCTATAAGAGCCAGGAGGCAGCGGGAGAGGAGCGGCTCCCCGAATTGCCTTTCCCACTTTATGCTGCTCTGCAGGGCTGGGCTTGTCCACGGCAGGCGTCATCCTGCAAAAACCCATGGCTGGCTCCAGGGGTTTTCCGGGGGAGGTCATACTACCTCTCTCTCTCCTCCCTCGGGTGCTGCTGTGAAGCCCAAATGGGACAACGAGAAAAGCCAGAGTCAGAGCCATCCTGCCTGCCCCGCCCCGGGTCTGAAAATCCCTGCCCGGCCCTGGGTGTAGTTTCCATCAGTGGCCACACGAGGGCGCTGAGGCCGTGACTGGAAATGGAAAATGAAGATTCTGGCCCCTTTCTGCCTTGCATCCTAAAACCCCCGGCTGAGAGCACTTACATAATTAGAGGTAATATTTGTATGGTATTTCATACCTGACGGGGTGCTCTCATATCTACCACCTTATAAAATTTCCAAGAGGCCCCCAAGAGGCCCACGCCTTTGTCTGGCGGCAGGGCTGTCCTTTAAACCATCTTGGAAGGGGGTTATTTTGAATCTGCTGACTTGGGAAAAGGTTGATAAGGGAGGGAAGGAGGCAGGGTGCGGGCACGGAGGCTGGTGCTTTTTGGGGGGACCCAAGAGGACTAAAGGAACGCAGGTTTCTTCCCTCCTCCAGCCCCCAAGGAGTCCAGGAGAATCTCAGGTGCTCCCGAGGGATGCAGGTTCGATATTCTCCCAGCTGCTGTGCTAAAAGCCACAAGGCATGGCTGGTCGGACTGGAACAGGGTTTCTCAAACTCGGCTCTGCTGGCTTTTGGGATCGTTCTGTTTTTTGCGGGGAGGGGTGTTCTGAACCTTGTAGGATGTTCAGCTCTCCCTGGCCTCTACCCACCAGATGCTGGACCCTCACAACTGTGACAGACAAACGCATCTCCAGACATTGCCACGTGTCCCTGGGGGGCAAAATCACTCCACGTTGAGAGCCACTGGACCAGAAGGACAAAACCAAGAGGATCTTCTTTATTATAATGACGTCTGTCCTGCACCTGTGGCCAGGTACTCATGGGCCCAGGCCTCTGTCTTTGCACCCCATGGCCATTGCCCATATTGGTACCCAGCCCTTGCTCTGGGATGCGCAAAGGTTAGCATCCTTTTCTGCTGCTTCTCTGTGGGTCTCTGGCTGGCTGGCAAGATGGATGTTGCCAGGTAGTCAGTCGCCAGGAGCACACGCAGCCCCATCGGCCCGAAGCCCTGAACCCTAGGACAGAAGCCCTGAACCCTAGGACAGAAGCCCTGAACCTTAGGAATGGTGCTCTCCTCCTCGGCAGCTGGAGGACCGTTTCCAGTGGGAGGCCTTGTGTGGGGATGGGGGTTGGGTGAGGGGGGGTGGAGGGGAAAAGGCAGAAAAAGCTCCTGCAGAGCCTGCCTTTAAGGGGTCTCTAAGAGAGCAAACACCCACCCGCCCAGACGGCCCATTGACTGATTCAACGGATTCAACCCATTTTTAGAGAGTTCCTTCTGTCGGCCAGGCGGTGAAGATGCAGAAATAAAATCCGGTCTGCATCTCTGTCCCCATCTCCAGAGAATCACAGACTAGCAGGAGCAGCACTGATAAGGCAGTAAGTGCTTCTCACCGTGGGGCCAGATGGGGACCGTGGGAGATTGATCCGGGCTGGGGACAGGCTGGGCCCAGGGAAACCCGCCAGGAGGAAGTAACAATGATGCTGATTCACAGCAGAGAGAACCCACCCAACACACTCAGCAGCCAGCCGGCAAGAGCAAATCTTCAAAGCAAATATGTTCCGGGGGGGACAAGAATAAAGAAGCAATTGGATTAGGTGGCCTCAGTCCAGGAGGTCTTCCTGGAGGAGGCATTGTGATAGGATTTATGGAAAACTGACCCTGGAGACAGATAGTCTTGGATTCAAGTCCTGTGTCTGGCTGGGAGAACTTGAACCAGTCTCCTGGCATCTCTGAGCCTCAGTCTCTGTTGAGGAGGGATATTAATCCCTCTTTCCAAGCCTTTCAGACCCCTATGCCAGTTGGGTGTAGCCCACATGACTGTCTGCCGCTTCCCTGCCTTGCTTAGCAGAAACCACAACAGGAAACGCTTAGCCCAGCAGCTGGCTCTGGGACTGTGAACTGAATGTAAGTCAAGAGTTGCCAGTGGATTTGGAGAACTACAACCCAGAGAAGAGGAGGTGGGCTGGGGTGGCCCTAGACTTGGTGAGGCAGGCAGAGGGCACCCCTGGGAAAGTCTGCCTCGTCTTGCCCAGAGGGGACACAGCCAGTTCTGACAGATGCCACCTCCTCAACTCCCCTGCTTCCACCAACCCCTTTGCACCGTGAACGGCTTCCACGGTGTCCAACCTGCTACCGTAAAAAGGATGGATTAGACAGCGTCCGCCAGCAGAGAGGAAAATAATATCGGGGCAGAGGAGAATCCATCTTGAGCGTAAGGGACAAACACCCCTCCTATATATCAACGCATGCCAGGGTGAGGGGGACATGAGAGAGAGAAAGAAAAAGGGCACGGTCCCTTCAAAGCAAGGCACAGGGGTCAACCTAT